GAACTCCTTCGCTCGAGCGAGCAAAGGCGGACATGCAACTTCAAATGCAATTTTGCATTTTGCTTCAGGGGCGCTGCCCCTCGACCCCGCCAGGGCGCTGCCCCGAACCTGCCAAGGAGCACTGTCCCCTGGACCCCTGCGAGCTGACTGAGCAGCTCGATCCCTGTCAAAATCAATGAAGTGGCAATCTTGAAAGAATTAACATCACAAACTTCTCTGCACGGCACAATTCGGGTTGGATTTGCATCTAACAAACTCATAGCCTCACTGAAATAAAAGTGCGAAAACAAGTACAACTGAAAGAAGTTCTGTCAAACGGGATTGCCAAGAATAAAAACCTAACAATCTCCCCCTTTGGCAATGCCGTGACAAAACACACCTAACAAATAAAATCCTAATCACCCCAACCCATTACAGCCAACAAACACAAACTTCTTTCTCAAGGTCATGAGCTACAAAACAACTATTAGTGCCACAATCTCCAAAACAACTATTAGTGCCACAAGAGTATATGAAAAAGCAATAAACATATGACAATATTATCTTGAAGCATGAGATAGAAAACATGAATAAATGTGACTTGGAGATATTAAGAACATGTAGCATGAAAACATGAAAACTAAGACACATGCACCTGACAACATTTCTCCCTCTTTTTGTCACGAATTGACGAAGGAAGCTCAAGCAACTAAAGTAAAAGCATAAAACACACAAGCAATGTCATGATAACGATTAACAAAACTCCCCCTCACTAAAGGCAACCACAAACACTGAAAACAGTGAACAAGAAGAAAACGACAAAAATAATATGGTGGAGCAAGCAAGAAATCTCAAATTTGTACCTTAGAACACACAAGATTATCCAAGAAGCATAATTACTTAAAAACACAATGTGCATAGCCTCTAGAAGATTCCTCATAAAAGAAAGCGACGCATTATGTGAAAAGCATAGATCCCATGATAAAAGTGTGTGTGTGACTCTTGGAGTTCGACAAACACTAGATTCAAATCCTAGTAGTGATCAGATAGCTGAACCTCTGTCAAAAGAATATAAGCACAACTACGGAAAGTCAAACCACTAGGAATCAAGGGGTATTTGGTGAGTAAAGGTGGAGGCCCCCCCTCAATCAATGAATCCTTTATTTTTTTCCTTTTTTTTCACATCTTTTTCTTTTCTTTCTTTTGCACATTTTTTTTTGTTTCTTTCTTTTGCACATTTTTTCTTTCTTTTGCACACTCATTGGCGGCTGACACGCTCAAGAGTATGGAAACCGAACCAGAGAAGCATGGATATAATAAGGATGGCCTGGTTGGTGACTCTGAGGTAGCCTTTTCCTCATGGCTGGACTACAAAGAATAGAGGGGGAAAGCCGTGGAGATGCAAAAAGATGGAAGGTGGTTTAAGAGACTCAACATCACCCATGATGTGCTAGTATAGGACAATTCCTCTAGAAAAGCAAAAGATACAATGCCAGAAGTCCATAGAGAAAAAAGATCACTAAGGCGGAAGACTCCCAAGAACACACACTCCGAAATGAGTAATGGCCACAGAAAGCACACACATATTAACATGTAATGGATATTCTCATCAATTTCAATATGCAACAAGGACCACTCAAAAATTTCAAGCTTGCAAAACCATACTAAGAAAATCTTTTTGGGTTTTTTTTTTTCATTTTTTTTCCTAAACAAAGCAAGACATAAAACGAACATGCATACACTAAATGACTCAAAAAAAAAAAAATAACATACAGAAACCCAAAAACTAAAACGACTAAACAAATTAACACAAGTCAAGTCTTCTCACCCAAACTGCTTTAGTATGAACAAAGTTGTGAGAATTACGGTTCTTGGATGGTGTCTTGACGTTGTGGTTCCCTTTGCTTTCAATGGAAACCCGTCTCGACTTGGTTTCCAACTTCCTATTTCTAGGTCTAGGCAAATACAAACTCGCTCCATGTTTGGTCTCAAGCTGATCAAAATAACGAGGTCTAATAAAACCTTTAACCTCATTACTACCAATGAAGTGTCTCCTACCCCACGAGATGTTAGAATTTCTTCCATCTCTATGAGACACTCTCCCATGCAACTTATAACAATAAGGGCGAATATGACCATGCATACCACAATGATGACAAATAAACACAGGGTGTACAGGGTGTACCTTCTTTTCTTTGACCTTACCAACTTTAAGAAGATTTAGAAGTCTTTCCTCTCGTTGAATCTTGTGCTCCCCTCGTTGAATCTTGTGCTCCCCTTGCCCTTGAGTTTTTGTATCATGAAACATGGATGCATTCTGTTTTTGCTCTTTGTTATCACCAAAACCAATGCCACTCTTGTCACAACACATTTGTTGAGACCCAATGATATCCTCCAAAGTCTTTGATCCTTTGTTCCAAAGGGCAATGGTAGCCATAGCACAGTTGAGCTCTTCCTTTTTCTTGATCGTTAGTTCTTCCAAAGCAACTTGAGACATCTCAAGAGATTCAATCTTTTCTTCAGGCGTTGCATAGATTTGCTGTAGCTCATTCATCTCTGTCTCGCAAGTCAAGAGTTTTTTTACAAAGAGCTTGTCGATCATTAGCTATCTTGATGGCATCAATCTTAACCTCAGAAATCTCCTCCTTAAGTTTGACATTCTCACTTTCACATGCTTTGAGTTTCGTTGTGAGTTTGTCATTCAATTTGGATAAGTTAAGAGACTCCTTATATAACTTTTCATAAGCTTGCTCAAGCTCTTCATCATCACTCTCTGAGGATTCATCATTAGTGGCATTCTCAACCGACCTCTTCGGATACTCTATTCACCCTTTAGTTTCGGAAGCTGCCATGACAGCAAGGAATTGTTTATGTCCCTCTCCACCTTGATCTTCATTGTCACTTTCATTTTCATCAGATTCTGATTCATCACCCCAAGTGATGGCGAGGGTTTTCTTCTTCTTCAAACGAGTGGGGCATTCTGAAGCAAAGTGGCCAAATCCTTAGCATTCATAGCATTGGACTCTCTTAGAGTTCTCTTGTATCTTTCCTTTCTCCTTCTTGGCTATAGAATTAATTTTAAGTTTATCTTTACCTTTAGATTTATGAGTATGAGTAGATTCCAAAATATTAGGATTCTTTTTCAAAAAAGATTTTTTTAAATTGTTTAACAAAAGCAACCGTAATCTTGGAATCTATCTCACAATCCTCATCAGAATCCTCTCCAACTCTATGAGCACTACTAAAAGAAATAACATCTTTTTGTTTCTTTTTGAAATTCTTATGTGCCTCATAAGTTTGGAGATTTCCAACCAAGTGATCCAGCTTGAGGTTGTCAACATCTTGACCCTCCTCAATAGCCTTAACTTTTGGTTGGAATCGATCGGGCAAGGATCCTAGAATTTTTCCCACAACTTTGGATTCTAGTATTTTTTCACCTAAATTGAAGCTGGAATTTACAATGTCACTCAACTTCGCATAAAATTCATCAAAGGTCTCACTATCTTTCATTGAAAGGTTTTCGAAACTAGACGTGAGCCTTTGAAGTTTTGAGCGTTTAACAGAAGGAGTGTCCTCGTGAATAGTTTGTAAGATATCCCAAGCCTCTTTTGTGACTTCACAATTGCAAATTCGACTAAACTCTTCAGTTGTGACAGCGCAAAAGAGAGAATTGATAGCTTTACTATTCCAGCTACTATTTTGGTAATAAATTGTGTCCCACTTATCAATTAGTTTGGGAAAAGTTACTCCATCAACGGTAATCGTCGGTTCAGTCCACCTATACATGACAGATTGCCAAACTTTTTCATCAATAGATTTTGAAAATGATCTCATCCAAGCTTTTCAAAACGAATAATTGGATCTGTCAAGTAGGGGTGGCCGAACCATAGAATTTCCCTCACGAATTGAATCCATTATCACAAATCAAACAAGATCTCGTTCTAAAAGATTTTTTTTTTCTTAAATAGAACGACCTGCTCTGATACCAATTGAAAAATCTACAAATCCCCTAGAAGTTGATTTGTGATTATGTATCAATTTTAAGCAGTATATAACAATCCCAATCAAACAATCAAGACAAATCGACACAACGATTTTAACATGGAAAAATCACAATTGGAGCACCCCCAATTGTGATAAAAAAACCACGGGCAACAGCCACAAAAGAATCCACTAAAAAGATATAAAGGAATTACACAGGTATACTCTCAATTACCTAGCGAATCCACGCCCGAATTGAACCAACCCCTATGTGCCTCTTCCAATCCCGTCTTTACCTCGGAATTATCTTGACGATAAGCCACTCCAGAATCCACCAAAGCTTCAGGCTCGAATTCTTCAGAATCCACCGAAGAACAACTTTCTCTTTTGTGTAGAACAAACAAATAATCCTTTGATGTATACTCTTTAAACCGTGTGTTGAATACTCAATCAAAACATCAAAGAAAACTAGCAAAATATCCCCAAATATAAACCTTAATATCCAAGAAGAAGATCTGGAGGAGTAATCCTAAAATTTGACAGAAAAACATACTTATAGAAATCTGGGACTGCGAAGCTCGCTCGAGCGAAGACTCTCTCGCTCGAGCAAGGAACTAATCTCGCGTGTTTTTCCATAAGTGGCTTCGCTCGAGCCACACAACCTTTGCTCGAGCGTACATTCATCATTCTCAGGTTTTTTGCCAGACGCAGCCTTTGCTTGAGCAAGAACTCCTTCGCTCGAGCGAGCAAGGGAAGACATGCAACTTCGAATGCAATTTTGCACTTTGCTTCAGGGGCGCTGCCCCGGACCCGCCAAGGGGCGCTGTCCCCTCGACCCCCGCGAGCTGACCAGGCAGCTCGATCCCTGTCATAATCAGCGAAGTGGCAATCTTGAAAGAATTAACATCACAAACTTCTCTGCACGGCACAATTCGGGTTGGATTCGCATCTATCAAACTCATAGCCTCACTGAAATAAAAGTGCGAAAACAAGTACAACTGAAAGGAGTTCTGTCAAACGGGATTGCCAAGAATAAAAACCTAACAAAGATAATCGAACGCACAAGTCACATCTATGGAAATGTTTATTCTTTGTAGAAGGTTGAGTCCCTGCTGCTCATTTTGCCCATCATTTGTTTCTAGACTTGCATGCAACCACCTCTCTAGACTCCCATTTGGCATGAACTCATAAACTAGAGCTTTGAAATCATTCCCTTGAAAATCAACACCGGAACAAGAAGTTATGATCCTAACTAAGTTTCGGTGTTGAATATTTCTCAAGGTTTCACACTCTGCCCTGAAACTCTTGATGGCTACACGATTTTGAAGGTTAAGTACTTTGATAGCAGCAACAAACTCTCGATCCTGAATGAGAATTCCTCTATATACAGAGCCAAAACTACCAAAACCAATTAGGTTCGGAGGAGAGAAACCATCTGTTTCTTTGAGGAGTTTCTCATAGGAGACTTTCAAGAATGATTCTTTCAACACTGGAACTGTAGATTGAGTTGTTCTTTGCTTCTTGAACAAATAAATTGCAAAGAATGACAAAAGTGTTGCTCCAACAAGTACAAAAGCTGTTGTAATTGCCAATATATGTGAAATAGGCATCTTATGTTTTGATTTCTTGGTGATGCAACTCAGTAGTTGTAGCTCAGAAATACCCCCACAAAGCCCATGATTTCCAACAATTGATATTGCACTTGCATTTGCGAAAACCCCCTCCATTGGTAACTCACCCTCAAAATCATTGAAGGATAAATTGAGAATCATTAGGGAAAATTTCTCTAAGAATGTCAGAATTTTTCCAGACAAGTTGTTATGAGAAAGATCAAAGTTTTGAATACCTCTCAAAGATTCCAATGATAGAGAAATAGATCCTTGAAAAGAATTTTCCTGCATATAAAGATTTTCAAGGCTAGTGCAACTACCAAGACTGCTAGGAATTTCACCAGACAACTTATTCTCAGAGATATCCAATTCCATTAAATTTTTAAGGTTTCCAACCTCTGTTGGCAAGGAACCAGACAAATGATTCCAAGCTAGATTTAATGAAATTGACAAAGATGAGACTTTCAAGAGTTCTTTGGAAATGTTTCCACTCAAGTTGTTTTGGTAAAGGTGCAGCAACAACAGCTTTTTATAGTTAGCAAGCCCTGAGGGTATGGTCCCCTCCAGTCTGTTGTCCTCTAAGTAAAGTTCAATCAACAATGACAGGTTTCCGATGGAATCTAGAATTTTCCCTGAGAGGTGGTTCATTCCTAAATCCAATATTTGCATCTTTGGAAGATTTCCTACGTTAGTTGGAATTGTACCTGTGAATTGGTTACCTTCCATACCTAATGCATCCAAGTTGACAAGGTTACCTATTGTTGAAGGAATAGTTCCATATGTTTGATTTCTACTAAGTATAAAGGAAAACAGATTCTTTGACAGGTTGCCAACAGATTCTGGTAACACCCCTCTAAATTGGTTTACCTCCATACCCAATATTTCCAAATTGCTACAGTTGGCGAAAGAACCAATGAAGGCTAGTTCATCTGGTTCCCCACTTCCGAAATTGTTATGAAATAGACCTATCTTCTTGAGATTCTGTAGTCTTCCAAAATCAGTTCTTATTTTCCCATTGAAGTTGTTATGTTCTACTTGAAATTGTTCCATTTTTGAAAACTTTGATATTGACAATGGGAGGGTTCTGGTAAATTGGTTAGCATTTAACTGGAGGAGTTAAAGATCAGGGAACATGAAACCAAAGCCTAGCGGAAGACTACCATGAAGTTGGCTAATACCCACAGGAAAAACATTTAGGAATGAAAGATTATAAATAGATGGAGGGATCATACCGGAGAGTTGATTGCCACCCAATCCAAGTTGTGCTAGTTTTTCCAATTGACCCAAGGTATCTGGAATACTTCCTCAAAAAGAATTTCTAGCAACAGAAAAGCTTTTCAGAGAAGTAAGATTCCCAATGAATGGAGAAATACCTCCCGTCAAATTGTTCTTGTAAATGGCAAGGTTTGTGAGCTTTGGCAAGGAAGTAAGCTCTTTGGGGAATTTCCCCACTAGTTTATTTGTACCAACACCAAGGTATGTGAGGTTGGAGCAGCGGGATAAGCTAGCTCGAATTTCTCCTTCAAAGTTGTTGTTGCTCAGGTTCAAAATTTGCAACCTGAACAGGTTGCCGAGTTCAACAGGGTTTTCACCCTGAAAAGTGTTGTTAGAGAGCCACAACCCCCGAAGGAAGGTGAGGTTCCCTACATAAGGAGACAAGGAACGAACTAGACCTTGGGACGTCCAGTCTATAACGGTGACTCTCCTGTGCCGGTGACCGCATATGACACCTTGCCACTCGCAGAAATGGAGAGAATTGTTCCATGAGCTCACAACCCCATGAGGGTCTTGCAAAATCTTTGACTTCAAGGCGAGCAACGCAAAACGATCAGTTTCGTTCCCAACAAAGGTACTTCTAGCTGTAGTGGCTGCAGGGAGTGTTCCAACATGTACAAGTGTCATGGCTACGACACATATGCCACTCCATACGTAAAATAACTGGAGTAGCTGAAAACTCATTACTGAAAGTGGAGATGCCATTTTCAGATCTCTTTTTATTTATTTATTTATTTTTATTTTTGGTATGTAGTTGCAAAGTTAGGCTTGGTTGTGATTATTTATAACCTACAATTTCCTTTCCTCCACGGTAAGCATTGTTTGTGTAGGGTGGAATATGTGGGACTGCAAATGGGAAATTTCTAATTAGTGGGGACTGCATGCTTGTAGTTGATTTGGTTTTTGCAATTTTAATTACATCATACTTGAAATTCTCATATTCGTGTCAATTTACTCTAATTGGTAATGCTCCTATTTAAAAATTGAACGGACATCAATAGACAAAATAGTTAATTTATTCTCCTCAAAGTGAGGAGGTTGACGTAAATGGTTCATTTCCTTTGAATGAACCATTTTGCTTTTAGTTTTTGTTCAATTTCTTAGTATAACTTATTAATTGGGTTAAATTGATACAATTCAAAATATAAAGATTAAATTGACACGAGATAAATTACACACACACAACGAAAAAAAAAAAAAGAATTGGAAAAGCCACATTACACTCATGAGGGGTACACAATGATTCTCATTCCTTATGAATGCACTGTAATTTTAAATTGTGTTTGGATCATATATTTGGATAGAAATTTGAAAGAAAAAAAAAATAGGGAATTTCTTAAGGTGCTTAATATAAAAATTTTATAAGATAAATGACATACAATATTTTTATAGCAGTTAAGGTGCTCAACATTTTCACAACGAAAATTCGACTTAGAGAAATTTTGTCCGAGTCAGAGAAATTTCGTCCCGACTCAAAGAAATTTTAATTTTTACAAAGAAATTTTGAAATTTCTCTATGATCATACCAGAGAAATTTTCTCTGAGTAGGGACCGAAATTGTAACGCCCCACTTTTTATTACTTTATTACTCGGGTAACATTACCGAATCCTTCATTATAATAAAATTTTAGAGATAACATATGGATCTGCAATATATCAATAAAGAGAATTAAGTAAAGGTTCTCTCATTTGAATACATAATGAATGCAACATGAGACATAATTACAGTAAATTGCATGCAGGCTTACATCAATATATAAAAGAGAAAGGGTTCAACCCTCTTTACAACAATGGCATTCGGCCAACAATTAAAAGGCCCCGTGGCCAACAAGTAATGAAGATTTTCAATCTTGAAACACTTCTCGATGTTCACCTGAAAAAAGATTAGCAACGTGGGATGAACATAAAGTCCAGTAGGGATCCCAACAAGATCCTAAACAATAACAACTTACAGATAGTTATGATCAGGAATGCTTCAACTTATACTATGTAAATAATATGATAGTTTGTACTAAAGTATATTTACATAAGTATACTTTTCTCAGAATCATCCAATTCATTCAACAATTCAGATAGTTTACATTTCTTTCTTGTTTTCCATTTCAATAATATCACATAACAACTATTTTGTTTTTGAAATACATTAACACAAGTTTCAATTTCCTCTTTTTACTTATAAACTCAATACGTACCCTATATCTATTTCCAACATGTTCATCACCTTTCCGGGCCTTAAGTCCAAAGTTAAAAAGATGCTTTCAACAGTTTATTTGATACACTCACATGTATACATAATATCCAATACAAAAAATGAAAACAACAAATGCCTAACAAGTGTTTACTCAATATATAAGACAACTCAGGCTTCCTAAACCATAACCATCGCATCACATGATATATCTAGATACACTGAGACAATAATAATAAACAAAACTCTGCTTTACCTGCCTTAAGCACAGTAAGCTAAGGATACATCTTTCCATAACACAAGCCAATGTACCAGTCACTAGCTGGAAGAGAATGAAACCTCTGCCAATTTACCAGACACCCGTTGGAAGGTAATGGTACCTCTACCAATTTACCAGACACCAGTTAGAAGGAAATGGTACCTCTATCCATTACTCCAGGCGCTAGCTGGAAAGTACTAGTACATCTTATTCTAAGCGTAAACAATTTCTTCATGCACTAGCTGGAAGATAATGATACCTCTTATTCTCAACGCACATATATTTCCAATCATCATAATATACCACAAGCATAAATAATCTGAGTGTACTACATACACATAATCTTTTCAACATCACAATGTCATCCTCCACCAATGACCAAGGAACAAAACTTTAAACATATGTATTAAATACACGTAATATGATAATCCGATTCTCACGAGATCTTAAGTCCAACAACAAACATAATAATAATATTTAAAGATTTCCAAATCCAACCTCAAGTTCATTCTCAATTTACGAAAGGTTGTAATTTCATTTTCTTTCCAAAACCAATTTGTACATTTCATTACAATCCGCATCCACGATGCCAATGCCACAACCCTATTTTTTATCAACATAATCAATCCCATTTAGTCCCATCTCGTCCCATCATCATGGTTAACTCTTCAATTTAACAATTTATACAAGCCATAGCAACTAAGACACAATCATTGTTCAATTTTATCCCTTTCCAATTCATTGAACTAACAATATTAAATTAGGGGTTTTTTTTCCTTTCTTCAACATAAACACATAAAACTATTCTCCAATTAACCAAAACCACTACCAATTAACAATTAGAAACCCCACATTATCAGACCCTAGATCTCTCTTACATGCTTTTTGAAAATTCATAATAACCACATTTTTTGTGCAATAAAATCCACCACATATCTATCTATAGATGGAGTATTGAAAATGAACAAAGAAATCCCTACCTTTTAAACCAAAGAGAAGATGATCCAAAAATCACTAGCAACGAAACAAAGATCCGTTCAGATTAAAAGAAAGCCATCACTGAGCTTTACGTTCTTCTCTAAAGAACTAGTGTGAGAAAACCAATAGATTGAGAGTACTTAGAGTTAGATGGTAAGAACTTAGAGAGAGTGTGTGTGTGGATCTAGGGTTTTGAAATGTTTAGAGAGAGAATGAGATAAAAAAGTGGCTCAAAATGGCTCTCTCTCAGACTGATATACGCATAAGCCGCTCGAGCGACCAAAACCATCGCTCGAGCGCACAATGACCTCCTCCCAAAAGTTCAGACTTGCAAAAGACCGCTTGAGCGCAAGAAGTATCGCTCAAGCAAAAACAACACTGGATCTAGGGTCCAAAGGTGGACAAACTCCCCTCTTTTTTGCGTTTCTTTATATATTCAATAACTTCATGAGCCAATAAAATATTGTCGGAGATAAGTCGACCTTGCAAGAACGCGCATTGATTATCAGCAAGTAATTCTGGCAACACCAGGCTAAGTCGATTCGCAAGAACTTTAGCACCTATTTTATAAAGCACATTACACAAGCTAATAGGCCGATAATCATGGACTGTAAGGGGACTCTTAGTTTTAGGGATAAGACATAGGTATGTTTGATTTAGTGGTTTAAGTAAAGATCCCGTATTCAGAAATCCCAAAATAGCATCAGAAACCGCAGGCCCCACAATCGACCAAAATTTTTAATAGAAACCAGCAATGAACCCATCTGGTCCCGGAGCTTTGAACTTGCCTATTTGAAAGACCGCCTTGTGGACTTCCTCAGTAGAAAAAGGTTGGTCCAAAAGAGTATAATGATGAGGAGCCAATTGAGTATTGATGACACTGATTAAATTAAAGTGAGAGGGGAATGCACCGGAATCGAGGGGAGAATCCGATGATGATGAAAAAAGTTCCTGAAAATGCTTCACAAACACCCTTTGAATATCCTGCGGTTGGGTGAAGACATGACCATCTGTATCTTGAATGAGAACAATGCGATTCTGACTCCGTCTCCATGAAGCCATACGGTGAAAAAATTTGGTATTACGATCCCCCAAAGATAGCCAATGTTGTTTAGATCTCTGCGCCCAATACAACTCCTGCTTTTGTAATAAAATATCAAGGTGAAACCGCAACTCCTGCTCTTGAGTCTTCATACCCGGTGATGAAAGCAACCTCTGGACCTGGTTGAGCCTAGCTTGAATGTCTTCAATTTGACCTTGAAGACTCCTGAAAGACAAAGCATTCCAATTCTTCAAATGTCTGAAAACGGTGGAGTGCCGTTGAACACAAGAAGCAACATCATAAATGGG